GAGCTAATCTTGAGAGAGGAAAGTGATTCAAGTGTCCTTTAGCCATCATTTTTGCCTGGAAATTAAATGCCTTTTCATCCATTATCTCTGTTGATTCTAACACCAGTCTTAAAAGGTGAACTATGTTTTATTATCCTGGGCTGGATAGCAGTGGCAGCAGGGCTGACAACTAGAAGACATTGAGCCTGAGCATAAAACAAGAGTGCAGGGTCATCTTAGGTAAGAGCACCCTGCTCTGCCTCAGGGACAAATCCTGATATGTCAGTTAAAATTCCCTCATCACATGGGTTTGGGTATCCACAAGACTTCCATGAAAAATGCATAGCACTCACGCTGCTTCCGTGCTCACCATCCACAGCAGACATCGCCAATCAACCAAAGTAACCTATTTCCCCCTGCATCTTATCCACACTACATTACAGGCAGACATTACCAGCTAACATTGGCAAGTGAAACGAAGCCTGTTTGCCACCCCAGTATTAGAGATTCTTCAGCTACATCAAAAAATGACAGAGGAGTCAGAAAAAGCTGGGTTGAATTTTAGCTCTGGGATTACGAGCAGAATGACTTCAAACAAGGCTCTACTCCTTTGAGCCTCAACTTTCCCATCTGTAAAATGGGGATCACTGTTATTACATAAAATTATTAAAGAAACCACATTAGATAGTGCATATTAGTCATGGTGACATTTAAAAAAAAAATCAGGGCTTCCCCAGTAGATCAGTGGTAAAGGATCTGCCTGCCAATGCAGGAGACATGGGTTTGATCCCAGGTCCGGGAAGATCTCACATGCTGCAAAGCAACTAACACCATGTGCCACAACTATTAAGCCTGTGCTCTGGAGCCTGAAAGCCACAACTATTGAGCCCAAGTGCCGCCGCTACTGAAACCCTCACACCCTAGAGCCTGTTCTCCATAAGAGAAGCTACCACAGCGAGAAGGCTGAGCACCACAACCAGAGAAAAGCCAGCACAGTAATGAAGGCCCAGCACGGCCAGCGCTAAATAAATTAATAAAATCATTTTTAAAAGCTCCAAAACCTGTATCTTAAAACAGTAAGCACTTATTTATGTCATGCATCTGCAACATAGCTGAGGAATTCTTTCGGTCTGGACAAACTTGGCTGACCTTACCTGGACTTACACATCTATCTATGATCAGCTGGCAGGTTCGCTTGAGCTGGACAGTCTTAGGTGGCATTACTCAAATGAATGATAGTTATCTGGCTGTCATCCAGGGTAATGGAAGGTGGGTGATTAGGCCTGGGGGAATCTCTCATCTTCTAGGAGGCGAGCCCAGGCTTGTGCTGTGGCAGCAGTTGGATTCCAAGAGACTGGGTAGAAGATGGCAGGGTCTCTTGGGGTGAGGCTCTGAACTGTCACATCGTTGCTTCCATCCCATTCTATTGGGCAAAGGAAGTCACAAGCCGGTCCAAGTACAAGACGGGAAGAAATAAACGCCACCTCTTGATGAAAGGAGCTGCGAAGTCATATCGCTAAGGGCTTGATTATTGGGACAGGTGGAGAATTGTGGCCATTCTCACAGAGAATCTAGCATAGCCCTTCATGCACTAATGGCCATGGTTGAAGCTCAATAGTGGGTTTGAGAGGAAAGAAACGTCACAAATTGCCTACTTTTTCTCTTGGTTGATGGAGCTTATAAAGACTGGATATGGCAAATAGCTTTTATCTCATGAGTTAACTCCTGTATTGGATAAGATTGTGAGATCCACGCTTAGTGGGATTGGTGCTGAAAGCCATCAACAGCGTCTGTTGTCAGTATGTGATAGGAGGTGGTGATGAGTGCGCTATGGTGAGCTGGGCAGAGAGACTAGGGCTCAGAGGAGGCAGCCCTGCTTCCCCGCTCCTTCCGCAGTGAGGACCACAGGTGCATCAAAGAAGACTCTTCTTTTCACAATGTGGCGTTTTTTGCTAACCTGATGGCAGTGTGTTAGCCAGTGGTCCCCAACCTTTTAGGCACCAGGGACCGGTTTTGTGGAAGACAGTTTTTCCACAGACTGGGGTGGGGGATAATTTCGGGATGATTCAAGCCCTTTACATTTATTGTGCTCTTTATTTCTCATCTAACACCAGCACTGATCTGACAGGAGGTGCTGGTCCATGGCCTGGAGGTTGGGGGCCCCTTCATTAGCCCACATTTTTCACCAAAGCTGATAGGGGCCGGGACTAACAGGTGCAAAATGAAGGTCACTGGATATGGCATTAGAAAGCCTATATTCTTTTTGTCTTTTATATCCTCTTTTTAAAAAATCTTTTTTATTTTGTATTGGGGTATAGGTGATTAACAAACAATGTTGTGATAGTTTCAGGTGAACAGCGAAGGGATTCAGCCATACATATATATGTATCCATTCTCCCCCAGACTCCCCTCCCATCCAGGTTGCCTCATGACATTGAGTAGAGTTGCTCAATGCTGTCCAGTACTATGCAGTAGGTCCTTGTTTGCTATCCATTTTAAATATAGCAGGGTACATATGACAACCCCAAACTCCCTATCATATCCCTTCCCCCCTTTCTTCCCCTCAGCAATCATGAATTCCTTCTCTAAGTCTGTGAGTCTCCAGAAAGCCTGTATTCTGGTCCCAGGCAGGTCCCACGGACCAGCTGTGTGATGTCAGTATGAGTCTTTTCCTACCTGGGGATTGAGGACATTAAGAAAGGGACAGTGTGGGGAGAAGGAAGGCTATCTGCCTGCAAAATGGGATGAGCCCAGATGAACTCTGAGATATGCAATGAGTCAGCCTGTTAAAGGGAGACTGCCACCAAATCACCCCACTCCACCCCAACCTCGACTCCCTTCCCCACCCTGCTCCCCCATTTCCTAAATAAGCCCTAGAATGTCACTGTGGGTCCCATGGAGTTAATGGGCACGAATCTGCCTCCTTATTTAATGCAAATCCAAGCTCACCTTATTGTGAAGGAGTCTCAATTCATTTGTACTTTCTTGGTGACACAATCCATTTCTGTCTCCAGTGGAGCCTTTAATCCCTGCAATTTCCATGGTGTTAGTAATTATGAGGAAAATGTCTGAAGCACAGAAATTCTGCACCCTGTCTGTAAGACTGCACACTTTCTGGAGTTTATTAAATTTATTTTGCAGGAACTGAGAAGATTAAACTCACTGTGCAGCTCCAGAGGGCAAAACAAGGACCAGCTGGCAGAATTTTCCAGGAGGCAGGTGGGATTCAAAGGAAGAAGCACTTCTGATCATCAAAGCTGGTTGGTACCAAGCGAACTGTATCAGGAAGCCAGGGGCAAGGCCAGCAGTGTCCAGAGCCCAGTGTGGTCACTGGGGACAGTGAGGAGTGAGGGTGGTGGGCCCTGGTGGGGGGGGGGGTGGTTTAGCCACTATGTCGCGTCCATCTCTGTGACCCCGTGGACTATAACCCGCCGGCTCCTCTGTCCACGGAGGTCTCTAGGCAAGAACACTGGAGTGGGTTGCCATTCCCTTCTCCAGAGGATCTTCTTGGACTAGGGATCGAACCCCTATCTCCTGCATCTCCTGCATTGACAGGCAGATTCTCTACCACTGAGCCACCAGGGAAGCCCACTGTGGGCCATACCTGGGTCTATTTCTCAACTCACACTTCTCAGGACTTTGGGAGAGTGAGTCAACTTTCCTAAGCCTGTTTTTGCCTTTCCTCCTCTGTAAGAAGGTGACGTCCCTGCCTAGCACAGAGCTATGCCCAGCGAGTGGCCATGCTAAAATGTCATCATTTACATTTGGGGGGGGTGTTCCTCTCTCCTCGAGCTTCCCCATTAACAGTGTGGAAACTGAGGCAGAGAGAGGTTAGGTAAATTACCAAAGGTCACACAGCCAGTTAAGTGGTGGATGAGGGATTTGAACTAAGGCACTCAGGTTCTAGAACTCATGTTCTTAGCCACTACACTGTTTTTTGGCAACCAAGGGGTGGGTCCATTTTGACTTTGGGAAGAGTCTTCCAGCAGCCAGTCTAGGTGGTCAGTTCGGGGACACAATACTGGAACCTGGTGAAATAGGTTTAGAAACACACGACCACTGTCGAGTGAGCTGGTCACATCTGCTGGATCATGGCACCATCTCTGGGCCCAAATATGAATGTGTCAGGTTCCCATGCTGGCTTTAGACCAGACTACCGGGAAGCCCCCGAGTCGGTGGTTAGTGGCATATACATCACCGGGGGCACATGTGCTCCTCAGGACCACTATTGACAAAGACTCAGATGCAGAGCAAAAGCTAGAAAGGCCTGCATCATGGGGAAGCAACACCTGAAGACAGAGCAGCATGAGAAGATACAGCCAAACTCTCAGACAAAAGGACCCATAGGACCTGAACCAGGCTTAGCAGGAAGGGAGGAACAGAGAGCTTTGTCACAACCACACCTGGATGAAGCGTTATCACTGGTTGCCTAGTGAAGAATTATTGGAAACTCAGAGATTTCATTCAGCCATTCCTTCTTGGAGACTTATTAGCAGCTTCTACATACTTATTATGTGCTAGTGCCCACCACAGGCGTGGTCAAGACAGACCAGGCTCTACCCACAGGGAGCGTGTATTCTCCAGGACCCCCATCAGTCAGGATACTGAATGCTGGCCAACACCATGGACACACCTGCAAGTCTCAATGGTTTAATAAAAATGTCCTTCGCATTCACATCACAGTATGATGTGGGTCTGTTGGCTCTTCTCCACCTTAGAGCTTTGCAGGAACAGGTAGCCCCTGAGGTCACTCTGAATGGGAAAAGTAGCGTGGAGTCACATTAGCTCTTTGCCATCTCAGCCTGGAAGTGACATGTTACTTCTGCTCATGGTCCATTGGTCAGAACGAGTCACATGGTGAGGACTTAGCTGCAGGGGACATTGGGAAATTCAGTATAGCATCTGGGTTTCAGCAGATTCAGAGCTAGAAAGACACCATCATGATGAGAAGCATTGCCAGGTACTGGAAGAGGGGCCATCCGGCAGTGATCAAGACTCCACATCCTGGGGCTCAATCCACCATGAGCAAGACCCCAAGCAAGTTCTGGAGTGCTGCCAGCATTTCCCCGTAATGATGTTGGTAACATCCACAATTCTACAATGCCTTGACCACAGGCTCCATCAAGTATCATTCAAAGTTGCATTTAGTTTCATAGTTCATGCACAGTGACTTGCTAACAGTTCTCTTCACAGAGGCTGATCTTTCTCAAGGAATCATCCAGTCAATGTCCTAAAGCTCTTGAGACTAGGAACTCCTGAGATCACACCACACACAGCCTAATGGAGAGGCAGGCACCACAGGACCACAGTCAAGTTCAGGAGCCCAGAAAGGGCCACACCAGAAAGATAGTCCCTAGAGAATGTCACTTCAGCAAGGCATCCCTTTTCCTCTGGCTGACAGACAACTTGAACCACTTCTCTCCTGGGTGTGACAGGAAGGGCAAAGAGAAACAAGATTGGGGTGAGGACTGGGTTTCTGAGGAGAGCCTCATTAGTGGGAAGGATGTGGGTACAAGCTCTGGAATGTTCCCTGACAGGGACTGAGTAGCCAGGCTTTGAGCCTTCATTAAATGTGACAGCAGGAGAATTGGGAGACACAGCCATTCATCACGTCTCCTCACCTGAGCAATGCTAATGTTTCTGAGTGACCAGGGTCCCCTTCTCAGGAGGCTGTAGGAACCAGGAAATCAAAGGTCACAGAGTCATGAGCCTGGCAGGGACCCCAGAAGAGTTGCCAGTCCAGGCTCCTCATTTTAACCATGGCCCATGCTCCTGAAATGCTCCCACATTCATTACCTCAAGAACCTGAGTGTGTGGTGGAGGGTGGGAGAAGAAAGTTCTAATTATCTCTACATGTCTGAAGAGAAAATCAATCCACAGAGAGAAGAGCACACAGAGGTCTAAGGTCACACAGCTGGTGTACAGAGAAATTGGGTGTGAAAACTAGGTCCTTTTGGTTTCCAGGCCGCTATTCCTCTCCAGGAACCAGAGAATTGATGAGGCCTGAATTCACCCAGCAACAGCAAGCCGTACTTTATCCTAAAGAGATATTGTTCTGCAGGTGATTGAGGGGTTCCCTTTCCAGCCCCTGAAACTTTATCAGTCAGGACAAGCAAGGCTCTGCTGCGGTAACAAATAGTCCCCAAATCACCAAAGACCAAAAATCTATCACTCAGGCTTTGTGTTCACTGAGGCCCAGCTAGCCTCTGCCCTTGGGGTCTTCACTCAAGGACTTGGGCCTGCGAGTGGCCACCACTTGCTACATTGCCAGTCCCTGTAGCAGATCAACGGAAAGCTCTGGAGGGTCTCCCATCAGTATTAAATGCTCAAGCTCATTGTTGGAACACTCCACTATCACAGTCAACTTAAGCAGCCAGGGCACCTCCTTAGCTTTTCCCGACAGTGTTTCTGCCCCGCCCCCATCTCCAGGGCACCTCCCATCTCCAGAATTGTCACCGCCTTGTCGCTGCAAGTGACATTCTTCCCATGAGGGGTTCCCGGGGGGCAGCCTTACCAGTTAGATTCCCCCTCCCCACTGCCCCACCACCCAAAAGGGGGACCCCACAGCCTTTTTGTGCATCACCCTGCTCCCAGCACAGGTGGCTGGACCGGGAGTGGTCACCTGACCCAGGCTGGGCCAGGCAGGAGTTTGGTAGCAGACCCACGAGTTAATTTCTCCCTTGGTCAGACCTGTGATGTGTAAACCACGTAAATTCAAGTCTGCAGTGGGGCTTTGCCATGAGTCTGGACAAGGAGGATGCGGGGGGGAGGGGGACGAGGGGGGCACAGGGAGGCGTGGGGAGCACAACGTGTAAGAGGAGCAGAGACCCAGACCTGGGAGGGGAGCCCTAGCTCTGCCCACTCCCCATCTCTCTGTTCTGGGGTCTGACCGCTCTTCTGCCCTTGGATCTGGAGGGCCACCCCAGGTCCTGGATCCTCCTCTGGGTGTAAATTAGCCTGAGTGAGTTTCTGGTTCCTGCCACCAAGAAAGCTTCGTGGCCTACGGCTGCACACCCTTCTTTCAAGGCCCTGTTCATCTGCGGCCCCTCAGTGGGGTCATCCCGACCTACCCTGGCTGGGTGTCTCCTGCCACCTCCAACTTCAACACCTTGAACTTCCCCATGACCCTCCTGCTCATCAGTGGTGTTTGGCCATGTATCTCATCATTGCCGCTGGACTGTCTCCTCCCAGGGGCTGTGAATCCCGTTTCCTGACTCAAATCCCCAAACCCTGGGCCCCAGCACAGGCCATACATACGGCAGGTGCTCAGGGCCAGTCTCGAGCCAAGAGCTCATCAGAGCAGAGGTGACTTCACCGGGCTCTCCCTGTGCAGGCATTTGCACTATTGCCTCCACCGTCCCACTGAACCCTCATGAGGAGCCAGACGTCCTAGGTTCAAGTCTCAGCCCTCTCGCCAATGAGCTGTGTGACCTGGGCAAGCTGTGGGCCTCAGTTTCTCATCGTAAATTGGGAATAATCACTGTGCCTCCCTCATGAGGTTGCTCTGCAGATTAAATGAGTTAACACAGGGATGGGCTTGACTTGTCCCCAACACCAATAGGTGCAAACGTCAGCTATTTTGAGGTTGGCACAGACAAGGCAGCCTGAGGCCTAAGGTTATTGGACACATTACAGCACATACCCTGCTCAGGAAACGTGGAGAGGCTGGGCCCGTTTCTTACTGCCACTGGCTCCACGCTGATGTCCAACTACAAGGCTGGAGGCACGTGGGGCAGGCTATTCTGAACATTAGCCCATGTGAGTTAATAAAGAACTAAGGGGGGAGTGTGCACAGACAAGCCTGAGGATGCTGCTAAAGCCCCGTGCAGATGTTGACCAGGAAGAAAAAGGTGGGTATTCTGGGCAGAGCAACAGTCAGCAGGGAGTGTTCACCAGGAGGCCCTGGCGCAGCCAGAGCAGTTGGTAAAAATGCAGAAATGTGCCTTTAGAGGAAGGTGTCAGCTGCCTCTTCATACTGCTCATACTGTTCATGGGGTTCTCAAGGCAAGAATGCTGAAGTGGTTTGTCATTCCCTTCTCCAGTGGACCACGTTTTGTCAGAACACTCCACCATGCTCCGTCTGTCTTGGGTGGCCCCACACAGCATGGCTCATCATTTCATTGAGTTAGAGGAGGCTGAGGTTCATGTGATTAGATTGGTTAGTTTTTTGTGGCTGTGGTTTTCAGTCTGTCTGCTCCAGATGTTCAAGCTGGTTTTAGAAAAGGCAGAGGAACCAGAGATCAAATTGCCAACATCTGCTGGATCATCGAAAAAGCAAGAGAGTTTCAGAAAAAAAACCATCTATTTCTGCTTTATTGACTATGCCAAAGCCTTTGACTGGGTGGATCACAATAAGCTGTGGAAAATTCTTCAAGAGATGGGAACACAAGACCACCTGACCTGCCTCTTGAGAAATCTGTATGCAGGTCAGGAAGCAACATTTAGAACTGGACATGGAACAACAGACTGGTTCCAAATAGGAAAAGGAATAAATGCAGAGTACATCATGCGAAATGCAGGGCTGGATGAAGCTCAAGCTGGAATCAAGGTTGCTGGGAGAAATATCAGTAACCTCAGATATGCAGATGACACCACCCTTATGGCAGAAGGGGAAGAGGAACTAAAGAGCCTCTTGATGAAAGTGAAAGAGGAGAGTTTAAAAATTGGTTTAAAATGCAACATTCAGAAAACTAAGATCATGGCATCTGGTCCCATCACTTCATGGCAAATAGATGGGGAAACAATGGAAACAGTATCAGACTTTATTTTCTTGGGCTTCCAAATCACTGCAGTTGGTGACTGCAGCCATGAAATTAAAAGACACTTGCTCCTTGCAAGAAAAGCTTTAATAAACCTAGACAACATATTAAAAAGCAGAGACATTACTTTGCTGACAAAGGTCCAACTAGTCAAAGCTATGGTTTTTCCAGTAGCTGTGAATGGATGTACAAGTTGGAACATAAAGAAAGCTGAGCACTGAAGAACTGATGCTTTTGAACTGTGGTGTTAGAAAAGACTCTTGAGAGTCCCTTGGACTGCAAGGAGATCCAACCAGTCCATCCTAAAGGAAATCAGTCCTGAATATCATTGGAAGGACTGGTGCTAAAGCTGAAGCTCCAATACTTTGGCCACCTGATGCAAAGAACTGACTCATTGGAAAAGACTCTGATGCTGGGAAAGACTGAAGGCAGGAGGATGAGATGGTTGGATGGCATCACCGACCCAATGGACATGAATGTGAGTAAGCTCCGGGAGTTGGTGATGGACAGGGAAGCCTAGCATGCTGCAGTCCATGGGGTCGCAGAGTCAGACACGACTGAGCAACTGAGCTGAGTTGAACTGAACTGATCTGATCAGCTGCTACCCTGAGCCCCTGTGCACTCTCATACGGCCCCAGCCCCTCTCCAGGTGCCCCCCCACCCGCACTCCAGTAACTAAATAGTTACCATCCAGCCCAGCAGGGAGAACCCAGCTCTAGCAGCCTGCAGCCCTATTGGTCAGAGTCTTGGGTCTACTGGTTGGTAAGTATTTTCAATCTCTCCCTGATGGAGACTACTTTTGTCTGTTTTTTAAATTATATACATATATAATTTAATTTTATATATATATAATTGTTTGCTTATTTACTTATGGCTGTGCTGGGTTTTCACTGCTGAGTGGGCTTCAGCTACAGTGGACGGGGCAGTGCATGAGTGGCTACTCTCTGGTTTTGGTGCACAGTCCTCTTGTTGAAGTGGCTGTCCTCGTTTCAGAGCACAGGCTATCGTAGCGCACAGGCGCAGCTGCCCCGCAGCATGTGGAATCTTCCCGGACCAGGGATTGACCCGAGTCCCCTACACTGGCAGGCAGATTCTTAACCACTGCACCACCATGGAAGTCCCTATTTTTGCCTGCTTGAAACCCACTCCCTCTTTCTTTAGAGTACCACCTCTTCAATTTTTCTTTGAGGGCCCCCTGATACCACATCCTAGTGGTATCATTGGTGGCTTGGGTTCTAGAAGATGAGCCCATTATGTCAGCCTGGGCAATTAGTAATTAGAAATGTCAGTCTGGCCAATTAGTAATTAGAAATACTGCGCATAACCTCTGGCCATAGCAAGTACCTTAGGGATGGGTGTGTACCTCAGGACTGATCAATGAAATTCCATCCTGAGACTTCTTTGGAATTACTGAGCTAGTGAAGCTCTCCCTTCTGTTGAAACTTATGGGGGCTTCCAGGAAGAGAGGGGTTGTGTGGTAGAGAAAGGGAAAATGAGAGCAATAAGAATCAGCTTACAGGAAGAGATGAATTCCTGAAGACCTCATCTGATCCCCTGGATCCAGCCATACCTGAAATTCCCTTGGACTTCTCATTTAATAAGCTTATAGTTCCTTTTCTGCATTTTTCCCCCTTATAATCAAAAGGATATTTTTATTCCCATGAAATACTGTCCCTGGGAAGTAACTTATCTATGGTCACGTACCTGGTGATTCACAGAGATTCAAGTCCAAATGCAGCTGTCTCTAGTGGTGATGGTCTGAGAAGAAAGCTTTAAGAGTTGGGCTGAGAGGGCCAGTGGTTAAGAATCCACCTTCCAATGCAGGGGATTCAGGTTCAATCCCTGGTTAGGGAACTAAAATCCCACGAGGGCAACTAAGCCCTCGTGCAGCAACTAGAGAGAAGCCCACCAGCCACCGCAAAAGGTCCCACAAGCTGCAACTAAGACCTGATGCAGCCAAATACACAAAATCGATATTTTTTGTTTAAAAAAAAAAAAAGGAAAAAAAGTTGGGCTTTAGGAAGCAAAGTAACAGGCCCTGCTCAAGACGCAATTTGCAGAGTCTAAAATTACTCAGCAAGGCAATCTGATTTAAGGAGACGGAAATTGCCAGCAATCTCCACAATTTCCTGGGATCCTCACCACTCACCTCCCAGGGCCAGTCTGTCCATGCACCATGACAGTTCTGTTATCAGGCTTGGCAGGACACAAGCTGTTGCTGTGACCGCCAGTCCAAATAGATGGTGACGTACAGTGGAAGGTAATTTTCCTCTCTCTCACTTCCTGGGGGTCAGCTCCTCACTTGCCAGCAGGACGGCCTGGTGGGGGATGGGAGAGTCTCCAGGAGGCCAAGGGCTCAAATGAACCCTGACAGGTAATCATTCCCCAGAGCAGCAGGTGAGTCGTGATTAGCACTCCCGGGCAGAGAAAGAGGTGGCTCGCCAGCTCCCTAGGACTCCAGCCTGGAGGTTGAGTGGATCCAGTGGAGGAGAGGGGAGGCCCCCGGTGCTATAGGATTATCTTCCTGATACGGCCCAGGATTCCCCTCCAAAAGGCCCTTCTGGGATGGTCTCTGCTCGGGGATGTGAGGTTAAAGGTCAAGGTGAAGCAGAGACCACGATCCCTGAGCAGTACCATCATCTGTGTCTCCTGTCTGGTGACCCCCTTGAAGATGAGGAGGGTCTCATCCCACTGTTGGCTCCTAAAGGCCCGGCACAGTGCTAGCACCTAGGAAAGCTTTGTTATGTATTTGTTAACTGATTGAATAAGTGGAAAAATAACTGAACTGAGAGGCCCTCACTTCACAGGTGGGGAAATTTTTCAAGGTCCCTGCCGGGGTGGCTGTCTGGAGAGGCAAAGGAACCAGCAGCAGTGAGAAGTACCTGAGCTCAGCTTCCTTCTTTTATTTTTTTTTTTTTCTTTTTTTAAAAAATTTTTGGCTGCACGCACACAGAACATGGGATCTTAGTTCCCCGACCAGGAATCAAATCCACACCCCCTGTATTGGAAACACAGTCTCAACCCCTGGACCACCGGGGAAGTTCTCGGCTTCCTTCTTTTAATCCTCAGGCCCTCCTCCCATTCTTGACGGCTTTCCCACTCATTGAGCTTGCAGGTGTTCACAGATGCTCCATGACAAAGGTGTTCCATGGCCAAGTAAGTTTTGGAAAAGCTGAGCTAAACAACCACAAACTGACTTTCTCACCATAGTATTTCTTAATGCCCTTCCTACACTAATATGAGCAGCAGGAAGAAAGAAAAGACACTCTCCCAACACCAGAACTCCAAAAAGGAGTCAGCATGGGATAAATCCTTATGCTAGTCCCCTTTGGTTTATGTCTTCACCCAGACAGGTAGTTTTCTGTGGCTCAGAATATTATTGAGTTAACAGGATGGGGGGAAAAAAATGCACAAGCATTTTATGAGGCTAAAGAGATGGTTTTTTGCTCTGTCAAGCAAAGCAAGAGGTTTTGATTATGGAAACATAAGCCCTAAGCTTAGCGTGGGGTGGAAGTGGAGGTGGAAAAAGAAGAACAGACACTCGAAGCAAATGGATAAAACTGAGAAGGAAAAGGAAACCAGGAGAAGCAGAGATCAGGAGACCCTTAGCCCCAGGAAATTTTAGACCTCTTTGGGAATTCCCTGGACTTTGCAAAGAGCCTGAGCTGTGGTTCAAGCCAGTTTCCAAGACGTTAAAGGAAAGGTGACACCAGTAATCTGGAGGATAGGGGGCATCCCAGCTGAGCTACCTGAGACCTGGGTGTTCTCTGATTCTGAGTCTCAGGATTACAGGGTTGGGTTGGACTTTGTTTCCCATCTCTTACCTCTTTCCTCCCTCTGCCATGTGGATTTGTAGAGCCCTAGAACAGGGGGGCTCACAGTCTTGGCTTGGCCATATGACTTGCTTTGGCCAACATAAAGTGGGTGCCAGTGACCATGGCACTTTCACACTGAGGCCTTAAAAAGTAAGGGCAGTACTTCCCTGGTGGCACAGCAGATAGGAATCCGCCTGCCCATGCAGGAGAAATGGGTTCGATCCCTGGAATCTGGAAGATCCACATGCCGCAAAGCAATTAAGCCCATGTGCCACAACTACTGACCCCTTGCTCTAGAGCCCAAGAGCCGCAACGACCGAACTCACCTGCTGCAACTGCTGAAGCCCACGCGCCTCGAGCCTGTGCTTCACAACAAGAGAAGCCACCACGGTTAGAAGCCAGTGCACCGCAACAAAGAGGAGCCCCCACCGACCGCAACAAAGAGGAGCCCCCACCTACCGCAACAAAGAGGAGCCCCCACAGGGAGGCAGACACATGGGGAATAATTTGATAATGTTGCAAAGTCTTTGAAAACTTAGCTGAAATTGAAATGGCAGCCCACAGAAGATGGGTGAGGATTTGTGACCCACATCTTCCCAGGCTGACTGCCTGCTTTAAAAAAAAATAATAAATCTAAGTTCGCCACAAAATTTGAAAGAATCCAAAGTTTCAAAATGCAAGATATACTCCAAAATTATTCTATATACAAAGAATCAGAAAATCTCAACAACTTGTAACAGGAAAGACTAGCAATAAGAGCCAAACCTGAGATGACAGTAATGTTGAAATCATCAGACAAAATTTTTAAAGCAGCTGTGATTATGACTCCTACCTATCTGGAGCGCTCATCTTCTGGTATCATATCTTTTTGCCTTTTCATACTGTCCATGGGGTTCTTGAGGCAAGAATCCTGGAGAATACATGATTACGATGTTTCATGAAATCAGAGAAAATATTCTTAAATGGAAAGATGAAAATTCTAAGAGAAATAGAAGCTTAAAAAATAACCAAATGGTATTATTAAGCCTTAAAAAAAAAAATAAGAAAATCCTGACAGATACTACAGCGTAAAGGAACCTCGAGCACATTTTGCTAAGTGAAATAAACCAATCTCAAAAGACAAATTCTGAATGATTCCACTTATATGAGGTACTTGGCATAGTCACTATCATAGAGGCAGAAAACAGAAGGATGATTGACCAGGACTGGGGTAGAAACAAGGAGTTGTTATGTAATGAGTATAAAGCTTCACAACATGAAAAGAGTTATGAAGATGGATGGTGGTGATGGTTGTACAACATTATGAATGTATTTAATACCACTGAAATATACATTTTTAAATGGTTAAGATGGTAAATTTTATGTCACGTGTATTTTACCACAATTTTTAATAGGGAAAAAATAACAAAATGGAATTTTAGCACTGAAAAAAGCAGTAACTAAAGTTTAAAATTTCATTGAATGGGCTCCATAAAGGAATGAATAAGATAGAGGAGTGAGTCAGTTAACCTGGGGATAGATCAATGGAAGTTATCCAATATAAACAATAGACTAGGGGAAGGGGAAGATGACAGAATAATGAACAGAGCCTCAGGAAACTATGAGACAATATCAAGAGGTCTAATATTTGTGTCTTTGCAGGCTTTCCAAACAGACAAAGGAAAGAGATCTGTGTGTGTTCAGAAAAAAGTATTTGATGAAATAATGGCTATACACTTCTCAAATTTGTAGAAAGACATAATTTTATGAATTCAAGAAGTTCAGCAAACCCCAAATGGGTAAACTCAAGTAAAATCATGCCTTGACATACCATAGTCAAATTACTGCAGACCAAAGATAAAGAAAGTCTTGAAAGCAACTATGGAAAAACAACATCTTACATATAGGAGAAAAATCATTCGAATGACTATGGATTTCTAGACTGAATTCACAGAACCAGAAGACAATAGAACATTTTTAAAGTATTAAAAAAAAACTGTCAACCCACTATTCTATAGCTACTAAAAAATATATACTTCAGGAATGAAAGCAAAATAAAGGCATTCTTACTTCAAATAAAATTAAGAGAATTTGTCACAAGCAGACCCTCTCTAAAAAGAAATACTAAAAGGAGGTCAGATGGAAAGGAAATGGTACCAATGAGAAACATGGAGCTTTAGGAATAAAGCTAGCACAACTGAATTGGTAAACACCCAAGGAAAAATAATAGACTATTTTTCTCCCTTTAGTTCTTATAAATAGTTACAACAGTTGAAAACAAAAGCCATAACATTATCTGGTGGGATTTTTAATGTATATACATGTAAAACATATGACAACCATAATACAAAGGATGGAGAGCTAAAGAAATAATGGATTGTAACATCTCTATATTTCACTTGAAGAAGTAAAATATTAGTAAAATATTAATTTTAAGTATACTGTTCAGTATGTATATTGTATATTAAATGTGTATATTGCAATCCTTAGGGAACCACCAAAAAAATGTATACAAAGAGATGTAGTAAAAAGACCAAGACATAAATTAAAATAGAACAATAAAAATATTCAAATAATCCAAACGAAGCCAGGAAAGGGGAGATCAAAGATCAAACAAGTGAAAAACAAATAAAATGTCCGTCTTAAATCCAACCATACCAATAGTTACATTAAATTCTAATGGTCTAAAATCTCAATTAAAACACAAAGATGGCTAGATTGGATTTCTTTTGGACCATTCTACGTGTTGTCCGCAAAGAAACCACCTTTTAGATAAAGATACAGGTAGGTTAAAAGTAAAAAACTAGTTAAAGATGTACCATGCAAACACTAATCAAAAGAAAGTTGGCTTGGCTATTAATATCAGAAAAATAAGATTTCAGAAAATGGAAAGTTACCAGAGATAAAGCAAGATGCTACATAATGACAAAAGGGTCAGTCTACCATGAAGACATAGCAATCCTAAATATGTACGGAGCTAACAAAGGACCTTCAAAATACAGTGTAAGGAGAAACAGATAAATCTGCAGTCGTAGGCCAATAATCTAAACTTCCATTTTAAGAAAGTAGAGGGCGGCGTCGCGCGCTCCCCCCGGGGTGCCATGGCCTCCTGCACCGGCTGCGACACGCCCTGACCGGCGACGGCCCCGGGGAGGCGGCGGCCGGCCCCGACGCTGAGCAGTTCCCGGAGAGCTCGGAACTGGAGGACGACGATGCCGAGGGCCTGTCGTCCCGCCTCAGCGGCACCCTGAGCTTCACCAGCGCCGAGGACGACGACGAGGAGGACGGCGAGGACGACGACGACGGTGACCCCGACCCGCTGTCCGCTGGCGACCGGGTGGCGGGAGAAGACGCAGGCGAGTGCGGGAGGATGGAGGCGGGAACCCTGGGCTCGGTTAGGCCTCCACCCCAGCCGCGTTCCCGGGTTGATCCAGCCGAAACTCAAGACACTTCTTTTAAGTGCGTCCAGCTGCCTCTTGGCTGTGTGACCTTGAGAGAGTCAAAACACCTCTCTGGGCCAAGTTCCCTTGTGTCAAATCACTCCCATCTCAGGGTTGTTTAGGGCATGAAATGTACAGTCTGGGATACAAACGGTAGTACTGTGCTAGGGATGTTTTGGGTGTGGAAATGTTTATTTAACGCCTCCTGTCTGCCCGGCAGGTGTTTGGCTCCGGGTCCCTCTCTGGCCCTCCGTTTCCATTTATGTCAGTTAGGGATAAAGCCTTTGTCATTCATTGGGAGGAGCATGAATGAGGTCAGGGCACCTAATTTACATCATATGTGGCCCCAGGCCCATCCTGTGCTCAAGCAGAAAGGAGTCCCCCACCTGATGGGCAGCGGGGCAGTCAGCTCCTGACCCGGCAGTTGCAAGATTTCTGGAAGAAGTCCAGGAACACCCTGGTACCCCAGCGGCTGCTCTTTGAGGTGACCAACGCCACCGTGGTTAAGGACCCGCCCTCCAAGTACGTGGTGAGTGAGGGTCCAGGACCCTGAGCTATGAATCTTAGAAGACCCTGGCTTAGAGAAAGTAGGGGAAACTTCAGCATCCTGGGTGATCTGGCTGTGTAGTTATAAATGGCTGCCCCATGTGACAAATGGGGAAACGAGGCCAGAAAAGGGCTGTAATTTGAACAAATCCTCAGGCAAATGAACCTATCCTATCCCGGTTTTGAGACTAAGAACTACTGTGCATGTCCTCTGCCCCCCGGACTTTTGCAAACTGTCAGAAGATGCAAGATACATGGGGAAGAATATCATCTGAGTCAGACTTGAGACCAAGTTGGCATTGGTTGGAAAAATGGGTTTGGGATCCAGATCTTGATTCAGATCCCAGTTATTACCAGTTGTTTGACTTCAGGTGAGTTGTGAAACCTTGACTAACCCGTTTTCTCACCTGAACAATGGGAATAATGCAGGAGTTAAATGAGACAGTACACAGAAAGCCCTTAGCATTGTGCCTGGCATCTTGAAGTGCTCAATAAATGATAGTTCTGTTATTACTATTTTACTTTGGGTTGAAAATGTCAGGCATCTAGGTCCTGTTGTGGCCTCTCTGCAACCACGAAGAGTCAGTTCTCCAGCACCCACGCCTGTACAGAATAAGCTTGTCTGAAGGACTGGATTTAGGGGATTGGTATGTGTGTGTATGTTCAGTCGTGTCCGACTCTTTGCAGCCCCATGGACCATAGCCCACCAGGCTCCTCTGTCCATAGGATTTTCCAGGCAAGGATACTGGAGTGGGTTGCCATTTCCTTCACCAGGAGATTGGTGGATTGGGGTAAAGATCAATCAGTGGGGGAGGCTGGAGGGGTGCGGGCTGATTTCCTGACTGTGGAAAGGAGAAACACATGGAGGATGCGGTTGGCCTGGTCCTGAAACCCAGCCTAACCTGGCTGGTCGTGGCGGCAGCAGCTCCCTGCCTCTCACTTCCCTCCTCTTCCCCACCCTCCTCCATTTCTGACTCAGCAGGAAGGGGGCCTGGAGCCCTGTCCCACATCTGGACTTCTCCACCCCTCTCTGAGGCTCTCAGTGAAAAACGGGCCACGCCCACGGGGCAGCTGCTCCAGTTTCAGTGGGGATTGACTGATGATAGAGTCTTGAGTCGCAGAAGTCCTGGCTGGGGGTCATGAGCAGGAAGGGGGCGCAAGGAGCAGCTGAGAGGAAAGTTGGGAGCAGCTCTGGGAAGAGAATGACAAGATAGAGCTAAGCCTGGCCTGGGAGAATCCCACAGGAATCAGGAGCCTCTTGGGCTACAGTCCATGGGGTCACAGAGTCAGACACGACTGAGTGACTAGGCAACAAATCCTGCTTCAACATCTCCTGGAGGTTAAGAGCACAGGCTTTGGAATTGGGTCGGCCTGGGTTTGAGTCCCAGCTGGGTCATTTACCAGCTGTGTGACTTGGAAGAGGTCTTTAAGCCCTTGGCCTTCTCTGGGAGCCTGCTTCCTCAGCTGACAGAGGTACAGACACTTTCCTCGCAGTGAGGTTGTGATGGTGAAATAGTGGCTGTGAAGAACTCGGCAGGGTAGTGCTCAGTTAATGATCCTCATTATTACCTGTCAATAGGACAACAGAAGGATCAGATAATGGATCCAAAATGGGTTTTTGTCCAAAAACGACAAATGAAAATAAAAGCTAGATGAGCATAAGGGGTCACTATAGATGAGGGCTTCCTGAAATGTGTTCTGCAGAAAATTGGTTCCCTGGAATATTAATAACTGTCCCTTTAAAGAAAAAAACAAAAGCTTCACAGTCAATATGTAATGTTTTGGGAATGCAGTTGAAGTAGAGTAAAATAAGTTTCTTTATTGTTAAACTTTCTAATCCTGAATACTAATGTAGACTGAATCTTCCAGAGTGAGCAGGCAAATCTGACTGAGCAGGGGTGGCTAAGATTTTGGCAATTTCACAGAACAAATTTGAGAGTAAACTCTGGGTTTGGTGTTAGTACACTTTTAACATCTGTGTGTGTATGTGTGTGTGTGTGCGTGCTCAGTTGCGACTGATTCTTTTTAACATCCAATGCTTGCTAATCCCCTTTTTAGACCTGTTAGCTCAGCATTGTTATAGATTAAGCCATATTTGGGTTCTCAGACCTGGTGGGAAGCTTAATGGTCATCTTGTTCAGCGTTTCGCAAACCTCCATCACCCTCACAATTTTTGTCCTATTTAAATGCTACTTTGACCATTTGATGCTTATCATTTTTCTTCAAATAAACTATTTTTTTTAAATAACTTTAAAAGACAACTTTACAACACAAGTGTATATGGGAAGCCTGACTCACTTACCATAAAGAGAAGATAACTGTAAAATAAAAAAAGAAAAGAAAAGAAAGTAGAGGAAAAAGAACAAAATAAAAATGCAAACAGAAGGAAGGAAATATCAAAAACAAAAGCAGAAATCAGGAAAATTAAAAACAAAAACAGCAGAGAAAGACAACAAAATCAAAATTTGGTTAATTTTAAAAGTCAATAAAATTGATATGGTTATCAATAAAGTGATAGTTGATAGTTGATTTTCTCTGTCAGACTGATCAAGAAAAAAAGTGAGACTATATAAATTACCAATATCATAAATGAAACTAGGGACTTTACTATTGGCCTCACGGACATTAATATGAGAATAAGCAACTATTTTGACCAACTCTACACCCATAAATTTGACAACTTACATGAAACAGACCAATTTCTTGAAAGGTGTTAATACCTTCTACTAAAGCTCACTCAAAAAGAAACTAATGATCTGAATAGCCCCATGTCTACTCAAAAATTAAATCTGTAGTTAGGAAACCTTCCAAGAAAGAAAATTTGAGGCACAGATGGCTTCACTGTCAAATTCTATCAACATTTAAGGGACATAATAATACCAGCTCTACACAATCTCTTCTAGAATGTAGAAGAGGAAGGAATACTTCTTAACACACTTTATGAGGTCAGCATTACCATGATAACAAAATCAGACCAAGACCATGTAGGGAAAAAATAACTAAAGATTAATATTCCTTGTGAATATCGATGAAAAAATTCTCAATAAAATATTAGCATAAAAAATCCAAGAATATATAGTAAGAATAATACATTATGGCCAATGTTGCTTATTGCAAGGATGAGGATTGAAATTTGAGACTTGATCAAGATTATCCACTGTATCAACAAACAAAAGATGAAAGCTATATATAGTATAGTATACATATCTATATAATATATATATGTATGTGCATATTTATATACATACAGATGTATATATATAAACATACATATGATCATATCAATGGATGGGGCTTCCCAGGTGGTGTTAGTGGTAAAGAATCTGCCTGCCAATACAGAAGACACAAGAGACGTGGGTTCAATCCCTGGGTCAGGAAGATTCTCGTGAGTAGTAAATAGCAGCTCACTCCTGTATTCTTGTCTGAAAAAGTCCCTGGACAGGAGGAGCTGTGTGAACTACAGTCCATGGGGCCACAAAGAGTCAGACATGACTGAGCAACTGAGCACATATCAGTTGATACAGAAAACATTTTGACATTTGACAAAATTTAATACATACTCATGATTTTTTAAAAAATCTCTCAACATACTAGGAATAAAAAGGAACTTTCCTAACCTGATAAAGGGCAACTGCAGAAAATTTACAGCTAACATCATACTTGATAGTGAAATATGAAAGGCATTTCTGCTAAGATACAGAACAAGACAAAGATGTCCACTCTCACTATTCTTATTCATCATTGTACTAAAAGTCCTAGCAGTCTAATAAGGGGGAAAAGATATATAGAATAAATGATTTCACAATGTGTATACACACACACACACACACACACACACACACACACACATATACAAAACTTCAAGCAACACAGTTTAACAACACAAATTTTGTCAGTAATATCTTAATAAAGTTGAAAAAATGAATAATTCTTCTTATTTACAGGTAAATTGACTATCCCAAGGAATCTATTTAAAAAACTTTCCTAGAACTAAGAAGTTCTAGCAAGGCCATAAGAAACAAAGTTAACATATAAAAAATCTCTATAATACTACAAAGAACAGCTAGAAATCAAAGATTTTAAAATAGCACCATGTATAATAGCTCCAAAAAATTAAAAAATCTTAGGTATAAATGTAATGAAATGTGCTAACAACTACAAAAATAAAAATGATTAAAGAAATCAAAGACCTAAATAAATGGAAAGACATATTCATGGACTGGAAGACTCACTATTGTTAATATGTCAATTCTCCCCAAATTATTATTTAGATTTAACATAACCACAAATCAGAACTGTAACAAAATATTTTGTCACAGAAATATTAAGCTAATTCCAAAATTTATGTGAAAAGATAAAGAACTGGATTAGTCTAAACAATTTTGTAAAATAAGAACAAAATTCTTAAGACTCAGCCTCCCCAATGTTAAGACTTACTATAAAGCTATAGTAATGAAGACAATGTGACATTAGTAAGAGCATAAACATACAGATAAGTGGAGTGGAACAGACAGCTCAAAAACAGACTCACAAGAAGATGGTCAATTGATGTTTGACAAAGGTGCAAAGGCAATTCAGTAGATAAAGGATCATCTTTTTAACAAATGATGATGGAATCTGTGTGCAAAAAGCTGAACCTCAAAACATATCTCACACTTTACACAAAAATTAATTCAAAATGGATCATAGGCTTAAATGTAAAATGTAAACCTATAAACTTTATAAGAAAACATAGGAGAAAATCCTTGTGAACTTGAGTTAGGCAGAACTCTTAGATGTGACATCAAAAGCACAATCCATCAAAGAAAAAATGGATAAATTGGACTTCATCAAAATTAAAAACTTACTCTGTGAAAAACACTGGTAATAGAAAGAAAAGACAAGCTATAGATTAGAGAAAAATTTTGCAAATCACATATCCAGCAAAGAACTTACGTTCAGAATATATAAACTACTCTCAAAACATAGCCATATAAAAATGCACGACCAATTGAAAAAATAGACAAAAGATTTGAAGACAAAAGTTGCTTCACCAAAGAAGGCATGTGAATGGAAAATAAGCACATGAAAAGATGCTCAACACCATTAGTCATTAGGGAAATGTAGAATAAAACCATAATAAGATACCACTACACATCTATCAGAATGGCTATTAATTTATTTTAAATTGGCAGTACCAAGTGCTAACAAAGATGTTGAGCTCTCAGTACAGAGTTGGTCAGCATGCAAAATGATGCAGTCTTTTGGAAAACAGTTTAGCAGTTTCTAAGTGCATTAAGTTGAACATGCACTTGCCACACAACCTAGCCATAGTATTACTACATATTTGCACTAAAGAAATAAAAACTTAGCTTCACACAAAAACTTGTATCTAAATGTTTTGTTGTTTAGTCACTAAGTCATGTCCTTCTCTTTTGAGACCCCATAGACCGTGTAGCCCACCAGGTTCCTCTGTCCATGAAATTTCCCAGGCAAGAATACTGAAGTGGGTTGCATTTCCTTCTCCAGGGGAATCTTCTTGACCCAGGGATTGAACTCACATCTCCTGCATTGAAGATGGATTCCTGACCACTGAGCCACCAAGGAAGCCCATGTAAATGCTTGCATGCTAAGTCACTTCAGTCGCGTCTGATTCTTTGCAACTCTATGGACTGTAGCCCGCCAGGTCCCTCTGTCCATGGGATTCTCCAGCAAAGAATTCTTAAGATTCTCCATTGCAAGAAGGGTTGCAATGCCCTTCTCCAGAGGATCTTCCCAATGCAGGGATTGAACACGCATCTCTTATGTCTCCTGCATTGACAAATGGGTTCTTTATCACTAGCGCCACCTGAAAAGCCCGTATAAATGTTTAGAGCAGCATTATTAACCGCTGCCCCAAACTGAAAACAACCCAAATGTTCTTCAACAGGTGAATGAATAAAAACTCCAGTAGAATCAGCCCTCCAGATCCCTGGGCTCCGCATCCATGGATTCAATGCAGATCAAAAATATTTGGGGGAAAAAATGCTTGCCTAGAACATTCCAATAAGCAAAACTTGAATTCATGGTATACCAGCAAATTTTTACATAGCATTTACATTGTATTAGATATTACAAGTAATCTTTGTGTGTGTGCCCAGTCGTGCACAACTCTCTGAAACCCCATGGACTACAGCCTGCCAGGCTCCTCTGTCCCTGGGATTTCCCAGGCAAGAATACTGGCATGGGTTTCCATTGCCTACACCAGGGCAACTTTCAGACTCAGGGATGGAACCTACAGTCTCCTGCATTTGCAGGCGGATTCTTTACCACTAGCGCCACTTGGGAAGATTGTAAGTAATCCAGAGATGAAAACGTGTATGCGAGGATGTGCATAGGTTCTAGACAAATACTATGCCATTTTACATAAGGGACTTGAGTATCCTCAGATTTCAGTATTCACAGGGACCCTGGAGCCAATGCCCCTCAGAATCCAAGGGAAGCCTGTGCATCCATTCAATGAAACACTACTCAGCAGCAAAGAGGACCAAACTACTGACACACACAACATGGATAGATATTAAAATAATTATGCCAAGTGGAAGAAGCCAGACTTAAAAGGCTACATGCTGTGTTTCCACTTGTATGACGTTCTAGAAAAGGCAAAACTCTAAGCATGAAGAACACACCAGAGGTTGCCAGGCTTAGTGGTGGGGAAAGAGTATGACCAAAAGGGGGCACACAGGGAATTTGGGGGTGATGGAACTGCTGTATCCTGGTGCTGGCCGTAGTAATACTAATCCATGCATGTGTTAAAACTCAGAGACCTGCACACTGCCAAAACGTGGATTTTACTGTTTGTAATTTTGTTTAAATATTTAAGACAAAATATTTGAAAAAGAGCCTTTGAAGGTTCCCACTCACCCCTCTTAAGGTCTCTTCATTCTCTCTGGAGGAGCATGCCCAGGGGAGCTGCTGGCTCATAAAGGACTTGAGAACAGAACTGGAGCCCACCCACACCCTGAAGAAAAGCCATCTCACCTGCCGTGATCAAGAAAAGACATGTTTGCTATTGTAACCCATTGAAATTTCCAGATGACTAACCACATAGCAAAAAACTGACTAATACAGTTACGCAAACTGATTCGATCATAGAAAACACCTGCTGGCATCTCTCAGCACTGCATGTCCCTTAGAACCTGCTGCTCCAGGAAGGGTAGACTGTTCTTCTTGTGATCAGAATGTCTCAAAGCAAGAAATAAAGGGGCCAAATTAACGTCAGACAACAGTCCTTCACCCACCCAAGGACCACAGAACCCCCTGTTAGCTCTGAGCATCTGTGTTGGGGGGTCACATGTTGAGGGCTCCACCCATCCTCAGCGTCCACTTTGCCCTCCTCCTGGACTGCTGACCCCCGCAGGCCATCAGTGAGGCCTCCCAACTCTGCCACCAGTGCTGATGTCTCCAGGAGTCCGAGCCTCTGGGTCTCTCCCTGCTCCAACAGGCAGTGACCCTGGAAGGCCTAGGAGGTACTGGGCAGATGGCCTGCCCTGGAGAGAATGCCCCATCTCTTGTCTGGATGCTACCTGGGCCCCTGAGTCACACTACTTGGGAGCTGAGGTTCACACAACGTGTCATAAATATAACCAAGCTCTGGCCTTCACTCGTCTCCCCATGGAACTGGAAACCTGCCCCTGCAGCCGGGAAAAGAAAAGAACACGATGCAGGCAGCCATCCCTCCCTCCCCCCATCCACCATCATCACTTCCCTCTTTACCTGCAGGCACTTGCCTCCAGAAATAAATTCTTCTCTTTTAATCTAATGTATTTGAATAATGAAAAAAGATACTTATGGAAGGAATGATTCCTAAGTTTACTTGCCAGGAGAATCTGGGCCCCAGGTCCTATTCATCCAAAACACCTATGCCCATTTAACAGATGAAGAAACTGAGGCCCAGGGAGGCAACACAAGTTGCCCAAGGTATGCACAGCTGCTGAAAGGTAATGATGGGAATGAGCCTATAGTCCTATGCTTCCAAAGATCTTTTACATGTAGAAGGTTCAGGAGAGTGAGGCCGAAGGTGGGGGTGGGGGCAGAGGTCAATGAGTCATGGGCAATTTGAATTTCTGCTTATCTTTAAAATTTTTATGACTCCACTGCATATCTATCTTGATTTTAATAAAACATTTCATATTTGCCATGGAAGGTATCACAAGGTTTTATCTGTTTATTAACGTCCCTCTGTCATGAGGCAGATCCATAGGGGTTAGCCTGCCCTGGATTGAGAATTCCAGAAGTACACACTCTGAAAGACTGACGCTGAGAAGGAGCGACAGAGGATGAGATGGGTGGATAGCACCATCGACTCAGTGGAATGAGTTTGAGCCAACTCTGGGAGATGATGAAGGACAGGGAAGCTTGGCATGCTGCAGTCCACGGGGTTGCAAAGAGTCAGACACTACTGAGTGACTGAAAAACAACATATCCTGCTGTCTCTGCGCATAGGGGGAAATGTGCCAGGGGCAGAGGGCAGGGCTGATTGACCTTCGGTCAGAGGCTCAGGAGGATTAGGCTAAGGGGAAGGGGCAGGGCCTGGGTGTCGTATGCCAGCACCAGCGGCAGAAACCTGGGAATTCAACCTGGAAAACTAGTGAATAGTCCTGGATTCCAATGCCTCCGTTTAACAAATGGGGAAATTGAAGCCCAGGGAGGGAAGCTGACCTGCACAGAGTCATCTAGAAAAGTGGGAGCTGAATCTAGGCCAGCTTCTCGAACCCAGTCCACGGAGTCCAGAGTGTGGGGCCGCCTCCCATATTCCCCAGGCCATACACGGGGGCCCTGGTGGCCTGGCTGGTGTTGGTGCGGACCAGAGGTGAGTAGATTTGGACTCTGTCCTCCAGGAGCTCCCAGGTCAGAGGTGGGAGGGAGGGAAGCAGGCCACCTCCTCAGGCCCTGCTCAGCCACCTCCCAGCTGTGGGACCTGACGCAGCAGCAGCCTCTCTGAGCCTGGGTCTCATCGGGGTCTCCGCAGCTCTGAAACAGGGACAGTGATGGTTGTATAAGGGGAAAGACCAAGGGACATGAGGCAGGGGGCGCTGACCACCGGCCCAACAAATGGCCGCTCTGCGCAAGTCACTGTTTTTTTTTTTCTTTATGACGTTGACTGTTGTCATGACGGTCACTCCTGGAGGCAGATTCAGGCTGAGGGAGAGTCTGGAGCACGCTTCAGAGCCAGACGAGGGCTGGACTGGTCGGAGTCCGTGTGGGTTTTACGGAGGAGCCTCTGAGACAGGTCCAATTGGGCAGAAATGAAACTTCAGTGCAGCTGGCGGAGTGCCCTGGCAGGCGAGGAAAGCCCTGCTTTGAGCCCGGAAGTGGGTGGTGGGAGACTGGGGGAGGGGCCACGCATCCCGGAAGTGAGGATGCCTGTGTGACGTGATGCGGGTCCATGGCCTGTGACATGCAAACCATGATCTCCTCCACTGCTGAGAGCAGCCATGAGGCAAGCGTCATGCTGGGGCTCAGGGCAAGTCACCCCAAGATATACCAAAGTAGCAAATGCATTAGTTTGAATTAAAGACCCTTGAGGAACAACCAGAGCAAGCAGAACATTCTGACCCCCCCTCTTTGTACCCTGAAGGCAGAAAATAAATCTCCCATGTGAAGGATGTACTCTTTGTGCCAGGCGGTAGAGAGACATCCTATCACCAGATGTAGGGAATTTGGGGCCAAGGAGGCTATGTAAACAAACTCTGCTTCCAGAATTCACTAATTAGTACCCAAGCACAAGTTTCCTTGTCTAATCAGTTCTTCACAAATATTAAAATATAGTTTCTATGTCTAAAAGGCATAAAACTGCCTGCTTTGGCCATTTTCTTTGAGTCTCACATTTCTATACACTCCTGTATGTACAAAATTAAAATATGATTTTCTCCTGTGAATCTGTCTCATGTCAATTTAATGACTAGATCAGCCAGAAGAACCTAGAAGGGTAGAGACAAAAATTTTTTCCTCCCCAAGTGTTGGCGGAGTCAACTTAGATCCTGGGACCCCTGATAAGTGCAGACAGAAGGTAGGAATTCTTACTGCCTCAGCCTCCTGGATCTCTGCCTACGGCATCTGTTGCTAGCAAGAGTGGTAAGAGGCCTTTTCTTTATAAAAATTTTGATTATCAGAAGAAAATATTTGTGGAACTATTTCCGTGAGACATAGTAACTCTGGTCAAAACTTGGGAACAAAGACTCTCAATTTCCATTGATATTTTTCTTCCCAGAGATGGTTACTGTTTTTCTTTGTCTTTGTTGTGTCATTTGTCATCAGGAGGAAAAACCACAGAACAAAACACAGGCAGAGACCCTACAAGCTACTCACAGACTGGTAAGCTCACAGTTCTCATCAGACTGGAGTTTGTTTAGGCAAACTCTTCTGTTTGTCTAAAACAATCCCCATGTAAAAACTGGATGATGTTTTTCCTTTCTTCTTGTTTCGTTTTCTGAGAGCTTGCTTTGTGGCCAAGCGGAATATTCTCTCTGGTCTCCGCCATCCAAATAGACTGAGATTTCAAGACAGAATGTCTAGCTGTGCAGCTCTCAGGGGGAGCTTGTCATGAGGGGTCCCAGTCCATCAGGAGACCTTGTCATCTCAATTTTCATTACTTTGTTAGTGCTGGAAAAATCCCATTCTAGCAGCACTCTCTTGGTGTCGCAGACTAGCACATTTATAACTGGAGGTGTCTCATGCTCCCATGAGAGACAGAAAACAACATTTTCGCGACACCATCCTCACCACCTGTGCAATGAAGGCCTTTGCTTTCTTCGACTTTCTTTGAAAATGAACTTTCTGGATCTAGTGAGGGTTGTACTTTCTTATGGGATACCCCTTGCATCCTTGTTTACCTATAAAAGCTTATCGGTTTGCGTTGCCAATAAGATTCTACTTGTTGGTGGCCAGACAATGGATGCTTTAAATTGAAAATATAAATTTAAAAAAATTTTTAGACAATTGTCTTCTTGGTATCTATGGACAGACTAAATTAAAAAGTATAATGACCAAACAAAAAAAAAAAAGTATATATGTATAATGGCCAGACTTTGTTGTTGTTGGTCAAGTCCGACCGTTTGTGACCCCATGGACTATATAGCATGCCAGGCTTCCCTGTCTTTCACTATTTCCCAGAGTTTGTCCGAACTCAAGTCTATTGAGTCAGTGATGCCATCCAACCATCTATCCTCTGTCACCACCTTCTACTCCTACCCTCAATCTTTCCCAGCATCAAGGTCTTTTCCAATGAGTCAGCTCTTCACATAAGGTAGCCAAGTACTGGAGTTTCAGCTTCAGCATCAGTCCTTCTAAAGGATATTCAGGGTTGATTTCCTTTAGGATTGACTGGTTTGACCTTCTTGCAGTCGAACTGCAAGGGACTCTCAAGAGTCTTCTCCAATACCACAATTTGTAAATATCTCTGTCCCTCAGCCTTCTTTAAGTTCCAGCTCTTACATCTGGAAAAACAATAGCTTTGACTATGTGGACCTTTGTTGGCAAGCTGATGTTTCTGCTTTTTAATACACTATCTAGGTTTGTCATAGCTTTCCTTCCAAGGAGCAAGCGTCTTTTAGTTTCATGGCTGCTGTCATTGTCCGCAGTGATTTTGAGGCCCAAGAGAATAAAATCTATCATTGTTTCCACTTTTTTCCTTTCTATATGCCATGAAGTGATGGGACAAGATGTCATGATCTTAGTGTTTTGAATGTTCAGTTTTAAGCCAGTTTTTTCACTCTCCTCTTTCATCAGGAGGCTCTTTAGTTCCTCACTTTCTGCCATTAGGGTGGTTGTCATCTGTGTATCTGAAATTGTTGGTATTTCTCCTGATAATCTTATTCCATCTTGTAATTCATCCAGCCCAGTCTTTTACATGATGTACTCTGCATAGACATTAAATAAGCAGGGTAACGATATACAGCCTTGACATACTCCTTTCCCAATTTTAAGCCAGTCTGTTGTTCCACGGCTGCTTCTAACTATTGCTTCTTGACTTGCACATAGGTTTCTCAGGAGGCAGGTTAGGTGATCTGGTATTCCCATATCTTGAAGAACTTTTCACAGTTTGTTGTGACCCACACAGTCAAAAGCTTTGGCATAGTCAGTGAAGCAGAAGTGGATGTTTTTCTGGAATTCCCTTGCTTTCTCTATGATCTACCAAATGTTGGCAATTTGATCTGTGATTCCTCTGCCTTTCCTAAACCCAGCTTGTACTTTTGAAGTTCTCTGTTCACGTACTGCTGAAACCTAGCTTGAAGGATTTTTTAGCATAACCTTGCTAGCATGTGAAATGAGTGCAACTGTATGGTAATTTAAACATTGTTTGGCATTTCCCTTCTTTGGGATTGGAACGAAAACTAACCTTTTCCAGCCACTGCTGAGTTTTCCAAATTTGCTCACATATTGAGTGCAGCACTTTAACAGCATCAGCTTTGGGGATTTTAGGGACTCCCTAACAAGATGAAAGAACAGGAATCAAATTTAGAGCAAAATTTAAGTCCACACCCAACATTAACTCACCTTCTTAAAATCCAGGTGCATGTCCTCAACAAATTCCCTTAACTCCCAAAACTCCACCTTCCCTAGAAAATCCCTTAAACACACAGTTGTTTAACTTCCCTTTCCCTACAAGATTTATAAAGAGCACTCCAGCCTAATCTCCAGGCTTAGAGTATACAGGTTACTCATGTAAATATTAAAATCCAGGGGAAAAAGTTTAATAGAAGCATCCAGGCAGAGAGCAAGCCTTGTTTTGCTATCAGGCTTTGACAACTTCCGGTCATCTTATGCAATGCCCTTTGCAGGTATAATGCTAGAATTCCACCCCAAAATCCATGTTTTCAGGGTTCCAGAATTTAGAAATCCTTTTAGTTCCATCTTAGTGGGAAATTTTCTCTCTGATATAAAAGGGAAAGTTCAAAATAGTGTGATGGAGTGGGCAAACCAACTTCTAAGTATTATAATGAAAATGGCTGCCCAATCCTTTGAAGACAGCTTGAAGGAATGGAAATGAAAAAGAGTTAAAATCAACAATTCTTAATCCACAACTTGACTCTAGAAAAACAAATGTGTAACTCTAAAAACAACTCAAAATCCACTCAGAACTTTTCTTATTTCCCTTCAGAAACTTGCAGATATTTGAAAAATCAGGACATTGAAATACAATTGTCCTGCACTTAAGAAAAGAAAAGGAAATTTTTAATAACAATTATTTTATGCTTCTAATAATAGACAAATATATCTCAAAACTCCTAGGGGAAAAAAACTTGCATTCTTTCTCTGTCCCTTGAAGTTATACACCTTATCTTATCTTTGAAATATAAACAGAGCCCACATTTGCCTGAGACTAAAGGGAAGGAAAGTAAAATGGAAAGAAATCTTTTTAAAATACAAACTGCAAAAAATCTCTCTTGCCAAACTCTAGACCACAGGCTCCTTAAGATTACTTCAGAGACAAATACAATTCTTAAGTTGTCTCCACAAATAGTAAAAGCCTTTAGCCATCTGAGTAAGTAAATTTAATTTATTCCAACTTGTTGACTGAAAAAAAGAAAAATGCACAGCCTAGGAGTTGAGAGTTATGTTTTATTTGGCCAACAAAACTGAGGACTTAAGCCCAGGACACAGCATCTCAGACAACTTCAAGAAACTGCTCCAAAGAGGCAAGGGTAGAGCCAAGATATATAGGAATTTTTCCAACAAAGACTAGGTAGTTGGAACATCAAAAGATTACTGTTAACTAAAGAAAACCAGATATCTCACAGGAAGAAGACCAGATAGCGACAGAGGATGAAATGGTCGGATAGCATCACCAACTCAGTGGATATGAGCTTGAGCAAACTCTGGGAATTGGTGAAGGACAGGGAAGCCTGGCGTGCTACAGTCCATGGGGTCACAAAGCAATGGACACAACTTAGCAACTGAACAACAGCAACAAGATATCTCAAGGAATTTAACATTTTTGTATGAATGGGAAGTCTGGGCTCATTGAGATCTTTCCTTTGATGTACACCTCACCTAGGGTGAGGTATCCTGTGTCTCATCCCAAGTCCCCTCAGGGGGCATATGGCGGGGGCAGGGGGTGGCTGTAGTGGCTGACTGCTAGATGGCAGGCAAATCCTACATCCGTCCTGAGTTCCCTCAGAGCTCACTATTAGGCAGCTGTAATGTAATACTTTGGACTTCCCTCATAGCTCCTGCAATGCAGGAGACCCGGGTTCGATTCCTGGGTCGGGAAAATCCCCTGGAGAAGGAAATGGCAACCCACTCCAGTATACTTGCCTGGAGAATCCCATGAACAGAGGAGCCTGGCAGGCATAGTCCATGGGGTCACAAGAGCTGGACACGACTTAGCGACTAAAACACACACAACACAATGATGGCTGCAACATCCTTTGTTTACTGATATCACAGGTTACATTTTTAGAGCACAAACCATTATTTATACACTAGTGAGTTTTAAATTGTTTTACAACAAAAGCTATAAAATCTCTGTAGGTTTGTATGTTATAAATATAATATTTTCTACTCCTAGATGGTATTGCCAAAATTAATTTGTAAAAGACCCCTATTTAACCACCTTAAAAATAAGCACTCATATAAATTTAGTATTTCTAAATGCTCAGAAATATAGAAACTAACCCAAATGCCTTCAAGTTCATGTGATCTGAGAAAAAAAAAACCCTTTGGTAAATAAAAATTAATCGTGTTGTAAGTGTGTTGATTGAATTAATACAGACGTGTCTTTAGAGTTATCAGCATTAAATATAGAACTTTTATTCTACCTAGGTTTCATCAAAAGATCATTTGAATGCTGAGCAACTTCCATAAAACAACTTCTGAATGCTGGCAGAGGACACCAGGCACCCAGAAAGGCAGTCCATTCTCTTTGAAAGGAGGTAAGACAAAATATAAAAGACAAAAGAGAGATAAGAGTTAAGGACAGAGACCTGTTCTGGGGAGGGAGTTGTGAAGGAGGAGAAGTTTCCACACAGTAGGAAATGCTCTCACAGGTGGGTCTGTGGGGAGTTTTAGAATCTCAGAAGACAACATAACTGGGAGAAAAAAAAAAATCAACAGAATACACACCTAACCACTACTGTGGAAAAGAGAACTTTCCTGCCAAAGGCTCTAACCTAACAACCTAACGAGCCACCTGGCCCACTCTTAGAACAAAGGATTGAGCAAATACCAAAGGAGAGCTAGCCACTGCAAACCAGCTCCTCCCCGCCCAGAGGCAGACTTACCACAGCCAGAGCTGGAAGGCACGGAGCTGCTGCATCTTCCACCAAACTGTGAGCAGGCTCCCAGCTGCTTACCACATCTTCCTGAGATTCTGTATGGTTGACATCCACCAGGAGGGTCACAGCCTGAGATCAGCTCCCCAGAGGAGACACACGGCACACCTGAGATGATGCTCTCCCAGCATACCCAGGAAACCAAGCCACGGGGCCCGTGATTAAGATGCACGGCCCACCTGGGACAGTGCATGCACCAAGCACCTGGTCACCTGAGCTGCTCAAACCTGGGGAAGGGCACAAAACGCAGGGCCAACCCACAGAGACCGAGCCAGAACTGTGTCTGGGTGTCTCCTGTAGAGGTACGGGTCAGCACTGGCCTGCCACAGGGGCAGGGGCTCTGGGTGCAGCAGACCTGGGTATGGCATAGGCCCTCTTGGAGGAGGTCACCACTAACCCCACCATAGAGCCACCAGAACATACACAGGACAGGGGAAACATACTCTTGGAAGGCACAAACAAAACCTTGTGTGCACCAGGACCCAGGAGAAAGGAGCAGTGACCCCACAGGAGACTGACCCAGACATGCCTGGAAGTGTCCAGGAGTCTCCTGCAGAGGCGTGGGTTGGCGGTGGCCTGCTGCAGGGTCAGGGGCACTGAGTCCAGCAATGTGTGAGTGGGACCTTTTGAAGGAGGTCACCATTATCTTCATCACCTCCACCATAGTGTGGCCTCAGGTCAATCAAGAGGGAGAGAACACAGCCCTGCCCATCAACATAAAATTGGATTAAAAATTTACTAAACATGGCCCTGCCCATCAGAACAAGACCCAGTTTCCCCCTCAGTCAGTCTCTCCCATCAGGAAGCTTCCATAAGACTTTTATCCTTCTCCATCAGAGGGCAGACAGAATGAAAACCACAATCACAGACTAACCAAACTAATCACATGGACCACAGCCTTATCTAGCTCAATGAACTATGAGCCATGCCTTGCAGGGCCACTCAAAATGGACAGGTCATGGCAGAGAGTTCTGACAAAACACGGCCCACTGGAGAAAGGAATGGCAAACCACTTCAGTATTCTTGCCTTGAGAACCCCATGAACAGTATAAAAAGGCAAAAAGGTATGACACTGGAAGATGAACTCCCCAGGTTGGTAGGTACCCAATATGTTACTGGAAAATAACTCCAGAAAGAATGAAGAGAAAAGCAAAGAAAAAACAACACCCAGTTATGGATGTGACTGGTGATGGAAGTAAAGTCTGATGCTGTAAAGAACAATATTACATAGGAACCTGGAATGTTAGGTCCATGAATCAAGGCAAATTGGAAGTGGTTAAACAGGAGATGGCAAGAGTGAACATCGATATTTTAGGAATCAGCGAACTAAAATGGACTGGAATGGGTGAATTTAACTCAGATGACCATTATATCTACTACTGTGGGCAAGAATCCCTTAGAAGAAATGGAGTAGCCATCATAGTCAACAAAAGAGTCCAAAATGCAGTGCTTGGATGCAATCTCAGAAATGACAGAATGATCTCTGTTCATTTCCAAGGCAAACCATTAAATATCACAGTAATCCAAATCTATGCCCTGACCAGTAATGCTGAAGAAGCTGAAGTCTAATGGTTCTGTGAAGACCTACAAGACCTTCTAGAACTAACACCCAAAAAAGATGTTTGCTTCATTATAGGGGACTGGAATGCAAAAGTAGGAAGTCAAGAAATACCTGGAATAACAGCCAAATTTTCCCTTGGAGTAGAAAATGAAGCAGGTCAAAGGCTAACAGAGTTTTGCCAAGAGAATGCACTGTTCTTAGCAAACACGCTCTTCCAACAACACAAGAGAAAACTCTACACATGGACATCTCCAGATGGCCAACACTGAAATCAGATTGATTATATTCTTTGCAGTTAAAGATGGAGAAGCTCTATACTATCAGCAAAAACAAGACCGGGAGTTCACTATGGCTCAGATCATGAACTCCTTATTGCCAAATTCAGACTTAAATTGAAGAAAGTAGGGTAGTCACACCATTCAGGTATGACCTAAAGCAAATCCCTTACAACTATACAATGGAAGTGACAAATAGATTCAATGGATTATATCTGATAGACAGAGTGCCTGAAGAATGATGGATGGAGTTTCATGACACTGTACAGGAGGCAGTGATCAAGACCATCCCCATAGAAAAAGAATGCAAAAAGGCAAAATGGTTGTCTGAGGTAGCCTTACAAATAGCTGTGAAAAGAAGAGAAGCTAAAGGCAAAGGAGAAAAGGAAAGATATACCCATTCGAATGCAGAGTTCTAAAGAATAGCAAGGAGAGATAAGAAAGTCTTCCTCAGTGATCAATGCAAAGAAATAGAGGAAAACAATAGAATGGGAAAGACTAGAGATCTCTTCAAGAAGATTAGAGATACCAAGGGAACATTTCATGCAAAGATGGACACAATAAAGGACAGAAATGGTATGGACCTAACAGAAGAAGATATTAAGAAGAGGTGGCAAGAATACACAGAACAATACAAAAAATATCTTCATGACCCAGATAACCACAATGGTGTGATCACTCACCTAGAGTCAGACATTCTGAAATATGAAGCCAAGTGGGCCTTAGGAAGCACCACTACAAACAAAGTTAGTGGAGGTGATGGAATTCCAGTTGAGCTATTTCAAATCCTGAACGATGATGCTGTGAAAGTGCTGCACTCAATATGCCAGCAAATCTGGAAAACTCAGCAGTGGCCACGGGACTGGAAAAGGTCAGTTTTCATTCCAATCCCAAAGAAAGGCGATGCCAAAGAATTCTCAAACACATGCACACTCATCTCACATGCTAGCAAAGTAATGCTCAAAATTCTCCAAGCCAGGCTTCAACAGTATGTGAACCGTGAACTTCCAGATGGTCAAGCTGGATTTAGCAAAGGCAGAGGAACCAGAGATCAAATTGGCAACATCTGTTGGATCATCGAAAAAGCAAGAGAGTTCCAGAAAAACATCTATTTCTGCTTTATTGACTCTGTCAAAGCCTTTGACTGTGTGGATCACAATAAACTGTGGAAAATTCTGAAAGAGATGGGAATACCAAACCACCTGACCTGCCTCCTGAGAAATCTGTATGCAGGTCAAGAAGCAACAGTCAGAACTGGACATGGAACAACAGACTGGTTCCAAATCGGGAAAGGAGTAAGTCAAGGTTGTCACCCTGCTTATTCAACTTCTATGCAGAGTACTTCATGAGAAATGCTGGGCTGGAGGAAGCACAAGTTGGAATAAAGCTTGCTGGGAGAAATGTAAATAACCTCAGGTACACAGATGACACCACCCTTATGACAGAAGTGAAGAACTAAAGAGCCTCTTGATGAAAGTGAAAGAGGAGAGTGAAAAAGTTGGCTTAAAACCCAACATTCAGAAGACTAGGATCATGGCATCCGGTCCCATCACTTCATGGCAGATAGATGGGGAAACAGTGGAAACAGTGGCTGACTTTATTTTGGGGGCTCCAAAATCACTGCAATGGTGACTGCAGCCATGAAATTAAAAGACGCTTGCTCCTTGGGAGAAAAGCTATGGCCAACCTAGACAGCATATTAAAAAGCAGAGACATTACTTTGCCAACAAAGGTCTGTCTAGTCAAAGCTATGGTTTTTCCAGGAGTCGTGTATGGATGTGAGAGCTGGACTCTAAAGCAAACTGAGCACCGAAGAATTGATGCTTTTGAAGAGGACAGCAGAGGATGAGATGGTTGGATGGCATCACCGATGTGATGGACATGAGTTCGAGCAGGCTCTGGGAGTTGGTGATGGACAGGGAAGCCTGATGTGCTGCAGTCCATGGGGTCGCAAAGAGTTGGAAATGACTGAGCCACTGAGCTGAACTGAGGTTTGTGCATGCATGCTAAGTCATTACATTCATGTCCAACTATTTGCAGCCCTATGGACTATAGCCCACCCGGCTTCTCTGTCCATGGGATTCTCCAGGCAAGAATACCGGAGTGGGTTGCCTACCACACACCCCCAAGAGGATCTTTCTGACCCAGGGATCAAACCTATTTCTCGTGTCTCCTGCGTTGGCAGGTAGGTTCTTTACCACTAGCACCACCTGGGAAGCCCATCTACCTAGGTCTACCTAAAGTCAAACAAGCTTATGTTATCTGTTACAAAATTTGTCATCAGGAAAAATATTTTGGAATGATGGATGACTTTGTCTAATGTCTCATGAAGTTTTCATGAGTAGTCTAAACATAAATGCTAGGAGCAAATGATATATAAATAAAGATAAATGGGATAAGTGTTTATAGTTGAACTTTTTAAAATAATTGTGTGCTATGGCATGTATATGTCTTCCAAAATCTTTTTGGTAATTTGAAACTTCGAAGCTTTGTTAAATTTAATGATAGGAATGCATTGAATGTCTTGATCATTTCCAAATAAGATAAAATACTGAAACATTAATTGCTAAACAAGCCTAAGTTTATCTACTTTTGATGCCTTATTACAGAAACTATAGACATTTTAAACATTAAAATGTTTTATTAAATGTTCATTAAACATTAAAAAACAGATTTTGTGCCACATTTGAAAAAAA